AAAAAGGCACAAAATCCTTAGTATGGAAGAGAAATAGATTGTCAAGGTGTCCTCACCCGGGGAGACCAAGTTTTTGAGGTTTTCCATCATCACATTCCTGTACAAAGTTTGCTGTTCAGGGTCCAGGCATTTCCACCCCTCCGGAGAGAATTATAAGGCCACATCCTTGAATGTCAACAGCCCCTGGAAACAACACACGTTTATGAAATGGGGATGGGCATTATTCTTTTTTTCTTTTAGGGGGGGGGGCTCAGCCCCCCCCCCCCCATCTGACTTACTGGCATAATCATTGTCACATAAGGCTCCTCATTTAGGCCAATTATGATTATTTCTTCCCAGGTTAGAATCACAGTGAGCAATCAGCATTTGAAAGATTAAGGAGAGTTAGAGAAACAAGACTGATAAAAGGCTCATGTGTTTGCTACTAGCATGTTAGTGCCAATTTTCAGTTAGAAAAAGATAAATGTAACTAAGGGAATGCATTTGGCAGCTTGTATAGAGATTTCTCAAGAGGATATCTCCATGAGATGATGCAATTCTTGCTTCATGTAGTTTATCATTAAACAGAAGTGGCAGATGTTATTGCAAAAACAGAGAAAAAGTCATAGTTTTTTAAAAATGAAAAAAAACCCAGGCTGGTCTTAAACTCTATAACAAAATTCATGGGAAATAACTGGAGGCTATCTTTGAATGAACTGATCATCAAAAAATGACTAAAACACTGTTAAATAAGAAGGATACAAATGTATTCTCTTAAATAAAAATGAAAACTATAAAAATATATTAAAGTGTTTACTGTTATTCTGAATTCTGAAGTTTTCAGTACTTTTTAAACTTTTTTGCTCTCATTTATTTTTCAAATTATTTACAGTAAGACTAAAACACATTTTTAAACTAACTTGAAAAGCAAACTGGGAGTTGAGCCAAAGAGAAAAAGGGAAAATTTAGAAGATTTGTAGTAGGCAGTAAGTTGGTCCTTGAATAGGACAGAGTTGGCCCTTGAACTGGAAAGCTCCCTTCCGGTGCTGTCTCCAGCTGTGTTTACGGGATCTACTGATCATTTTACCATATGGATTTCCTTGGCCTCATAGAGATGCTTTTGTTTTGATCTTGCTTGGATCTCTTTTTCCAGCTAGCTGGACTCTATATTCTGTATCTAACCCTCAAGTACTTTCAGTCTGGATGGAGAATCTGACAAAACATGTAACTGCTTAATTAGGTTTATTGGGATTTTGAGGGAATCCGCCCATGCAGTTAATTCTTGGCTACTGAGTTGATAATGAAATTTTAAATAACTTATCTGTGAGAGCCAGGACACAGGCCGGCTTTAAAATCTTCCACTTAGTTCCAATGGCCTCATTAGTTCTAATGACCTTCTCAGATATTATACATTTACAGGGCCAATTGGGGAATGTGGCAATAATTAGAATAAGAATAATAGGTAACATCAATTCATGTTACCATGTGTTAAATGTTAGAGTAAGTCCTGCATATGTATTATCTTAATTAGTCTCACAACAGTGTTGTGACAAAGGTACTAAATAAGAGTGATCACCACATTACTTATGAGGAAAATGAGGCATAGAGAAGCATGATCAATTTCCAACAGTTACACAGCAATTAGAACTGAGAGGGGATTTGATGTTAGATCCTGTGTACAACCTGTCCCTGACAATTTCCTGGAAAGAGGGCTACTGCAAAAACCAGGAATGGAGCTGGTCTAATGCTAGTGAGTGACCATTATCCATGCCTCACTGGACAAGTCACATAAGCTACCTAGTTCTCAGTTCTCTCTTTGGCAAAATGAATACATTAGATTCCATGTTCCACAAGGCCCTTGTGAGCTCTCAAGTCACATTATCACAAAATATGCCAGTTGCATACTATTAGTAGAAGAAGCTTTAAACTAGCTGGAAGGAGTCCAAGATTTGTCATTAATTTTTTATGATTGGTAGTGAGTCACTTAAACTCTCCAGGCATTATTTGCCTCACTTCAAGAGTTACTTTTTACATGTATGTCAGTGTTTTTTAAAAAGTGTAATATAGCATATGATATGAAATACTATGCTATCATCTCAAATAAAATTGTTTTAATGCATTGAAATTATGGATTTGAAAAATTGTGTTAAATTGGCTTCTCACTCTTCTTTTTTCCCCCTATTAGTTAGAATATCTGGTCTGTAATATTTTAAGGTAATGCTCTTTGTAGTAGATGTAGACAGAGAGAGAGAGATATCTCCTCTCATTTCTAATTTTCCATTTAAATATGAAAAGGATTGCAAATGGCCAAAGAAAAAACATAACTTTATAAAGAGGGGGGACATGTGCCCCTACTAACACCTTAAATTAATTTTAGTGAGAACAGCAGTAGAAAATAATCTATATCCCTTGGCTCTTTTGCAGGTTGACAAAGTTAATGATTACAATCTCCTAGATTTTCCACTACAGTATTTCCAGGGAGTCTATTTGCCTTGATTGATGATATTATTTTATCTCTTTTGGGCCAATGATGACTGTTCCTTGCTCCTGTGTAGAGATTAATAATTGATTAGTTCATAGTCAAAAATCTTAGTTAAAGGGAACAGATCACTTTTGGCTACCATCTTTTACATAGTAACCTACAGGAGACAAGAGGTGCTGCAGGACTCCTGGTAGAAAAATGAAGAGGGTCCTGGTTCTTCTGTTTGCTGTAGCATTTGGGCATGCTCTAGAGAGAGGTAAGACTTCTTCTGTTGTGACCACTTAAACGCACAATTACTAATCTGATTTTTTGTTACCACAAAAATTTTTTTAAAAGTGAATATGTTGAGAAGAGAAGGAAGGATCAAAAGGGGATTAATCTGAACTCAATTATGGCATATAGTGTAGTAATGGATTGGGCAAAAAATCAAGATAAGAATCTCATGAAAGAAAATAAAAATATATAATTTGTCAACTATCCCTCCCCCCTTTTGGGTAAACAAGATATAAAGAGAATAGTTTGAAATTAGAAATATGTTCATTGTTAAAAGATATGCAGACGAAGACTGTGATCCATCACTAAGCACTTATTTAGATACCATTGGGAACATAAAATACCATGTCAATGATGCAGGAAGTCAACTGAGATTTATTTGATCCTCTTCAAGGAATTCTATACATGCAATATTTGAAAATGCATTATAGTTTTAAAAATACCTCTTACATAAAATAAAAATTTTCTGTAACTATGAAACACAACCATAAATAATTGAACTATGTTTTTCATTAAGATTATTTTTCAGTTGGTGTCTCCATATTTGGGCAATGTTTAAAAACATTTTTAAAAATTATATACATTGAGAGTATGTGAAGTATACAACTTCATGAATTCTGCAACTTAGAAAATTTCCATAATCTGTTTCAATTTACTTTTCTGGCTGATTCTGTAATGTTTACAAGGGACTCTACATTCATACGACTTTGCAAAATTAAAATTTTCACTTAGTGCTTTCAGTCAACAGCCTCAATAAGCTCATACATTATTATTCATAATAGATTCATATTAGTATTGTATCTAACTCGTGAAATAAAATGTTAGTTCTTAAGAATTACTGGTTATTAATTGTGACAAGAATAACCTTATTCCTGACTTTTTATTCTTCTTACATTTACTCTTATTTTTTATCTTTTCATTATTCAAATCATTTTAAATCTTCTTTTGTTCATCCATAGATTCTTAAGTAAGCTATGAGTCTGTAAGTAAGACGATAAAACTTTTCTGAGAGTGGAGTACAAAAAAAAAAAAAAATCATAAATAGTGTCCTGAACAAAATCTCTGACTAGGCCAAGTCCCAAGAAGTCCTGAAATCTTATTCCTTTGTCTAAGGCTTTGCTGAGGCAGACCTGACCCTGAAAAATCTCACTGAAGCAGGTTCTGGTTAGAAACTTCAAACACAGAAGGTCCAGTCATGGCTAGGAACTGGAATTATATATGGAGACTCTAATCAGGGACATGAGTCACTGTCTTGACTCAGGAAATGTGCATTGGCTTCACCTCAAAGAATGATGGTGTCCTTTGGAGAATAGCAAAGTATTCCGCAATCTCTATTTTGACATTCTTAGTTCCCTCAGACTCTGATGAAACTAATGCTAAAAACCTCAAGTTAAACCCCCTTGAAATTCTAAGCTCCATCCTATTACCCGTATGTCATAGGTCAGATGATATCTTGATACATATAAATACTTTTGTGAGAATTAACCACTCAGTATTTGGAGGTGGTAGTCCTGATCCACGATTCCACTATTCTCTAATACCTGAGCATGACCCGAAGAACAAATCATCAATTTACCTGAAATTGAGGTGTGTTCTCTCCTGACAGGAAGTTAGAGCATACAAATTATTCTAAGGCCTCCTAGGTTCAGAGCAGCCTTGAGTAGCAGGAGATTGGTTTGGATTCCAATTTTCTCTGCCTGTTATAGGTCTAAAGAGCTGAACACCCACAGTATTTATGTAAACACCGGTTCCATGGCATATTACACTCAAGACTTACCTTGAAAAAAAGTTTCTATAGCCAAGCAAATTTAAGAAATTAGCCATATATTAGTCCTTCTTGATGGGTTCATAATCAATGTTTTTGTAGTCCTAAAGATTTTGAGAAGACTACAGAAAAAAAAAAATCTTGTTTAATTCGGTTTCCCAAACATATTGACTCTATTCTAAAATGCCTATACCTTTGGAACTATTCTTGGAAACCTTGGGCCTAGCATGTATACTGCTGCAGTTCAACATGAACATCAGCTTCAGTTTGGCCAGTCCTCTCCTATCCAACAGCTTTGGGGATTTGGTTCACAAGTCCTTGGGTATATCTTGGAGAAAACAGATGTACCCAATCTGCTACATCTGGATAGTGTCATAAGAAAATATTCACTTTTGCTACTCAATGAGAAGCCTGAAGGCAGCATTTGCCATTGACTCCACATGACTTTTCTCCAGGACTAAAATACAAGTTTACAGTGTATCTTTCATTCAATCTCCCCCCCCCACCCAAAAAAGCAACAAAGGTTGCTGGCATGGCCACACAATTCTTAGGCAATATTAACAGGAATTAAACCACTGCAGTTGATAAGCACTACTGGCAATAACAGGTGTTTATTATGAATATTATCCCTTTTGTTTTAAGCATCTCATTCTTGACATACATATTTTTACTAAATGTTATACTAAACTGGAAAAAGAACTAGAGTCCCCTTTGGGTTGGTGGGTGAGCTATATTTTTCCTTCTTCTTCTTTCCTGTGAAAACAGCCCTAAAATAGGGCTAAAGTCAGGGAGGTAGCTTACTCCTCATTAAAAGCAGCATTAACTCTTGTGGAAATCAATAGCAACATTCTATCTCATTGTTAAAAGGGGCAATGCCTCACATGCAGTCACCATTATGTGTGTAATATAAGGATAAGTGTGCTCACTCTTTAAAAGGTCACTGAGTTTAATTTATTTAAGATAGGAAGAAAAACCTGGCGCGATGACTTACGCCTGTAATCCGAACACTTTGGGAAGCAGAGGCAAGAGGACTGTCTGAGCCCAGGACTTTGAGACCAGCCTGGGCAACTTAGCAAGACATAGTCTCCACAATTAAAAAAAAAAAAATTAGCCAGACGTGCTGGCACACGCTGGTGGTTCCAGGTACTTGGAAGCCTGAGGTGAAAGGATTGCTGAGCCCAGCAGATTGAGGCTGCAGTGGCTATAAGTGTGCCACTGCATGCTAGCCTGGGCGACAAAGTGAGACTCCAACTCAAAAAAAAAATTAAGATAGGAAGAAGATAAAGAAATTCCTGAAAGAAACTGATGATGCCTTTCCCCTGGTATTTATCTATTTAGGATAGGAAATATTTACCAGTATTTATGGCCCCCTAACCTCTTTATTCTGCCCACTGCTGTTGCTCTCTCTCTCCTCCCCCTCTCTCCCTCTCTCCCTCTTTCCATCTCCAACTTTCCTCACTCACTCATCCTCTGTTCTTCAGAGTTTTGCACTAGCTCTTCCCTCTTCCCAAATATCCTCATGGCTCCCTTCTTAACCCCCTTCAGATACCTGCAAAGTCCACTTTACAGAGGGCTTCCCTAATCAACCTACCTCATGTAGCACCCACCACACCATTTCTTTCTATCCTTTTACCTGGTTTTATTTTTCTTCTTAGCACATATTACCTGACCTTATCACCAGTTGTTCACTTGCTTATTGTAACCAATGTAAAATGTAAGATCCATGAAGTCAAGAACTTTTTGTCCCTTCCTGTAATTCCCAGTTTTAGAACACTACCTGACATGCAGTAAGTGCTTGGTAAATTTTTTATGTTATATTGCAAAATGAGGATTACTAGAGTACCTATCTCATAAGGTAGTTTTGAGAATGAAAGGAAAATTAGCTGTCAACAACAACACATAATAGGTATCCTGGAAAAAGTAACCTCTTTTTAAATGTTCATCATTGTTAACTTTATGATAATTGTTATATAAAGTATCTATTATGGAGCGCTGGCACTAGATTTTAGGCTTTAGAAATGAAAATAGTAGCTAATATACATAGAGAGAGAAAGTCAGAATCTCACTCTGTCATCCATGCTAGAGTGCAGTGGCACGCTCACAGCCACTGCAGCCTCTACCTGCTGGGCTCAGGCGATCCTTCCACTTCAGCCTTCCAAGTAGCAGGAACTACAGGCATGTGTCACCATGCTCAGTTAATATCTTGATTTATTGTAGAGAAGAGATCTTGCCGTGTTGCCCAGAATAGTCTCAATCTTGTGAACTCGGGCAATCCTGTCTCCTCCACTTCCCAAAGTGTTGGGATTACAGGCATGAGCCGTCACACCCAGCTGTGGCTTATATTTTATTTGCAACGCATCAACATGTTTAAAATCTTTGGATATGTTTATTTCATTCTTGCACTACCATTATGAGTTCAGTACTACTCTCACCCCCATTCTACAGGGGAGGAACAAAAGGATAAATAACTTACCCAAGGTAACTGGCAGAATCAGAATTTTATACCAAGTAGTTGGGTTCCAAAGACAATCCTCTCAATCACTACTTTCTTGTTTCTCACAAGACAATACCTAAACCATGATCTTTCACAAAACAAGTATAAAATAGAAGTAATTAGTTTATAATCCCAGCACTTTGGGAGGCTGAGGTGAGAGGATTGCCTGAGCCCACGGGTTCGAGACTAGCCTGGGCAACTAGGAGAGAGCTCATCTCTATGATAAATCAAAAAATTAGCCAAGTGTGGTGGCATACATCTGTAGTTCCAGCTACTTAGAAGATTGATGTGGTAGGATTGCCTGAGCAATTTAAGAAAGGAAAAAACTATATTAAAATTGTAATATTCAATATATACCAATAGCAAAAGATGAAAAAAAGTCACATTGACTTTGCAATTGCAAAAGGTGCTCAAAGTGTCCAGACACTCCTGATTACAGTGAACTACTTGCAGGACTTGTTGGCTGTGCCCATCACACACAGTACCATGCGTGCCAAACTTAGCAGGAATGTGTGCAATTGTTAGGCATGTTGGAGGTTCTGTTGCATACTCACGCCTCCATTGCTGCTGTACTTCCACAGTGTTCTCAAATTTCAAATACCACTTCAAAATGGTCTTGAACTCCTCGAACGACAACTGTGCTTGACTGTCCCGTGGCATGGTGACCCTAGCATTCATTTGAGTCATGCCATCTTTTGAGTGAACGTCATACTGCACATTGCAA